GACCACCTGGAAATGGAGACCACGTTTTGAGTGTCCCTTGCTGCATCTGCGCCTTGATCCAAGAGGGTGGTGGCGTTCCCGCGGATGCGGAAAACTGGGCCTTTGGCCGAGTCTCACGCGAGCCGTGAATTTTTTGAGTGGTCGTCTCAGACAGTTCTCACTATAATACTGTGAAAGGAACGTACCGTTGGGCTCCCGTGGGTGTTGCCAGTCGACACGAATCTCAGTCTTACACGAATCTCAGTCTTGGACAGCGTCGTGGTGGTCACCGCAGGCACTCCCGGAACTGGTGTGATGCACGTACATGCACAAACACACACACAAATGTACACACAGATGCGTGCACACACACACACACACACACACACACACACACACACACACACACATACACAGACATAGACACACACACAGACGGACACAACACTTGAGTTGCAAAGCGAATCAGAGCTCAATACTACTTTACATTCGGCACGACTGAGAAGAGCAGATCAGCAAGAAATTCAAAAGCAACCCGTAATCTACCCAAGTTCAGGAGCACCCCCCCCCCCCCCCTGACATGCACCAGTCACCTTACATATACCGTATTTTCCGGAGTATAGTGCACACTTTAGATGTGCTATTTTAGGCCCTAAATCGCAGCTGCGCACTATGCTCCGGATATGAAATGCATGTACTTCAAAATGCGTTATACAAAGGTGCGCACTATACTCCGAGAAATACGGTATGCGGCCCTGCACCCCCCCCCCCCCCCCCCAAAAGGCGGACCAGCTACGCCTCTGCTAGGGTGCCATCTACACCGATCACGATCACTACGCGCCTGACTGGCTGGTGACCGGAGTATCTCCACTTACCGTCTGCAGCAGTGCGGGCCGTTGAGATGGCGGGCGTACCTGGTCCCGCATCGTTCTCCGCTTGAAGCCACACCATGTAGCTTGTGAATCGTCGCAGACCTGCTAGTACATACATTCCCGACAGGTCCACTGCGAGAAACACACAGACAATACAACAAAGAGACAGACGTACAGACAACCCCGTGAATAATAACCTTGGATATAAAACTAGTGGTGTGCACGGATATCCGTGTTACCCGTGAGGACCTCGGGTAACACGGGTACAGAATAGTACCCGAAAACCCGAAGTCACAGATGACATCATGTACAGTGCACATGTACAAATTCATGTATTACTCCACATCACAAGTACATGAAACCCAGAGTGTGCAGCTCTGATGGGTTGCTGTCACGGCGAAATTCCGTGATTACATCATTTTTAGTGATGTGGTGCGTACAAGCCGGATTCAAGCAGGTCTCTTTCTGCACAGCCGCAGCTCAGTTGTGGAAAACTACCCGAACCCGATACCCGAAGAAAATGCTACCCGACTCAGCACTAGATACAACAACCTTGGACATAACAACCTTGGCTATAAAAACCTTGGCTATAACAATACCTGGCGAATACCGACACTACCTTCAGACTCAGCAACCAATTCACCGCATATCTATAACCCCGCAAATAATGACAGCTCACGAATAACAACTATTTTTGTAGTGGCCGATCGAGGGTGGTTATTCGCAAATAATGACAGCTTGCAAATAAGAACTACCGTATTTCCCCGTAAGTTAGTTCTCCCCAATGACTTAGTACCCCCTATAAAAAATACACTTTCCACTGCCGAGGTTATCACCCCGAAAGACATTCCCCCCAGTAAGTTCGTACCCGTCCTACATGTACAGACACCGTACAGTACATACATCATATGCACGGACACTAGAGTTGCGCAGGCTTCCCACTGCGTGCCATTTACCCCCGATAAAAAAGTACTCCCCGAAAGATAGTACCACCCCCGAAAGTTAGTACTCATGTGGCTGCTAAGTTGGAAAGTTAGTACGTACTAACTTACGGGGAAATACGGTATTTTGTAGTGGCCGATCGAGGGTGGTTATTCGCAAATAATGACAGCTTGCAAATAACAACTATTTTGTAGTGGCCGATCGAGGGTGGTTATTCGCAAATAATGACAGCTTGCGAATAACAACTATTTTGTAGTGGCCGATCGAGGGTGGTTATTCGCAAATAATGACAGCTCGTGAATAACAACTATTTTGTAGTGGCCGATCGAGGGTGGTTATTCGCAAATAATGACAGCTTGCGAATAACAACTATTTTGTAGTGGCCGATCGAGGGTGGTTATTCGCAAATAGTGACAGCTCGCGAATAACAACTATTTTGTAGTGGCCGATCGAGGGTGGTTATTCGCAAATAATGACAGCTCGCGAAAAACAACTATTTTGTAGCGGCCGATCGAGGGTGGTTATTCGCAAATAATGACAGCTCGCGAATAACAACTATTTTGTAGCGGCCGATCGAGGGTGGTTATTCGCAAATAATGACAGCTCGCGAATAACAACTATTTTGTAGTGGCCGATCGAGGGTGGTTATTCGCAAATAATGACAGCTCGCGAATAACAACTATTTTGTAGTGGCCGATCGAGGGTTGGTTATTCGCAAATAATGACAGCTCGCGAATAACAACTATTTTGTAGTGGCCGATCGAGGGTGGTTATTTGCAAATAATGACAGCTCGTGAATAACAACTGTTTTGTAGTGGCCGATCGAGGGTGGTTATTCGCAAAGTTGACATGTACGTCTTGTACTGCAGTCAGGACCAACGAAACCCGACCACATAGCCTGGTAACATTGTCAGAGGCTGCGCGGCCATACAAACATATCACTAGTACAGTGGTATGATGGACAAATCAGTGTTCTTAGGCGGGGGATGGTAGGGAGTGCGGTGTACTGTAAACATGCTATTTTCGGTGTAGCTCAATACTTCGGTGATTTCGGTAGAGAAGCCCGGCACCTAAATTTAAATTACACCTAAAAGGCACTGGAGAATGCACTGTATGTGAAGGGTACGCCGGTCACTTTTAAATTCTACATTACACGTGAGACCTGTCAGGTCCCCGGCACCGAAATTTTAATACACCTAAACGTACATGTTTTATAGTACTTCAAACAATAGGAGGACAGAGGAAGTGTTTTTACTCAGAGTTTCACGCACTAAGCGATCATCAGAAAATAGTACTTTTCAGCCTAGTTCTGATTGGAGGACGGCATAATGAGCTGCCCAGGCCTCACCACCACTGCCGTTTCTGTGCTGCCTTCTCGATACATACGTATGTACACTGTATATCATGTGCACATTCACATGTCTGAAGGTTTGTGGTTTTTCAATAAAAAATAAAATAATAAAACGTTTATTTTGCCGGTAAAAGAGGCCCGCACCGTAAAAAAAACGCATAATCCATCAGCCCCTGCCTGCATAGGTGAGTCTAGCCCACACCCGCCCACACCCCCGCACTACGTGGGCGTGTGAGGTGGCCCCAATACTAGCATACACCTAGCCGCCCAACTTACAACTCATGGAACCTTGCACACTGCAGGCATACCCAGTGCAAGGGCAGGCGCCGTCGGGAGTGTAGCAGTTTGTGCGATTGTACGTCAGCACGTACTTGTTGATGTCGCCATTCCTCATGTCCGGTGCCGGAGCCTGCGAACGGCAGCGCGTGCAAACACACGAGCAGCAGCACGTGGCATGCACGCACAATTGCAATGCACATGCACACACACACACACACACACACACACACACACACACACAAACACACACACGTCATGCACATGAACGCACGCGGTTACAACCATTCTCAAACCATGCACACGCGTATGCACGCACAAGCACACTGACACACACACGCATACAAACACACGCGCACACGCGCACACATGTACAATAAGACGCATCAACAAGAAGTGAAAGCCACAAAAATCATTTCAACCCTCCGCTAGCTGCATTTCGGTTACGCTTGTAAACGAACACGGGCAAAAAAACATGCAAAAGAAAGAAGTTCTACTCATAACTAGACTGGAATCAGGATAAGAAGAGGACACTCCTGACGTGATCTTTGACACATTGTTTCATTGTAACAGTTACATCAACACTTTGCTCCATGTCAGACAGATTTCCGTAATTTATAGAGAGAACAGGCGTGTCTCCCAATCCTAAACTTAACCTCCTTGCACTCTCCCATAACTCTGCTTCTATCATGCTGATTATACGCACACACTATACACACTCGCTCTCACGTGCTGCCCGTTTGATTGTGTGAATTAAAGTGGAACAACAACAACAAGCTGCCAGCCCCCACTTACCGTGTAGTTGATGCGCAGTGAGTCGGAATCGTTTGTCATGACCGATAGCGCCGGTTCGCCGGAAACTGCACGGGAACAGAGAAGGGAATGGCCGACCGCCGGCCAGCCGCGAACAGATTGCAAAGTTAGTTTGACGTTCAATTTTCTCCACACTTCCCTTGCTTCTCTCAACGCTTGTGCGAAAACAAACGTCTCTATTTATTTTAGTAACCGCAATCAATAAGACGAGCTGAATCGACATTTGTGTATACTTTGTTCATGCAATGTAAAATAGTGGAGACAATGTGCAATAAAATTATGAAAAGAGGAAGAAATAGTGTAGAGAAAATTCGGATCCAAACAAGTTTTCGTACAACACTCATCAGGACCCGCCGTTGTACTAAAGGACAGTGAAACAAAATTGAACTTCTACACTTGTTGAATCCCTAATTTTTCTCTACACTATTTCTTCCTCTTTTCATCGTTTTATTGCACATCGTCTCCACTGTTTTACATTGCATGAATAAAGTATACACAAATGTCGATTCAGCTCGTCTTATTGATTGCGGTTATCAAATTACTGTCTCCTCGCCGTTTGTTTATAATATAATATTACACTAAATAGTATATTGTACTATTTAGTGTAATCTTATTGATAACAAGACAGTTCTATTGATTTTATTTCAATGCTTTTTCTTCTTCATTCCTTTCCCCCGAAGCACTGTGTGTTCAGCAGGGAGTAGTGCTTTATTGCAGGTTTGTCGAGTGGACGGCCCGGCATTCTTCTCGTGTGCTCCAGACGTCAGTCGTGAGTCAGTCAAGTGACAGTCAGCCGGCAGGAAGCGCGAACTCCAAAGTCCGGAGCAGCCACCTTCTTCATTTCTTTAGGCCAGCAGAAGTACTATCAAGAGAGCCTTGCTTCAACGTTATCTTGCTATGTTGTATTCGCCAGCACACGTCTGAAGCCGGTGTCCTTTTCTCTTGCTAAGGTCACCGTGAAGCCGCTTGGCAGGCAGGCGATTGCCAAGACACACATA